CTTGTCTGTATACATGTATGTAAGTTATAGAAAAGAAATGGCATAGTGAATAGAGCCAGGAAGATCTGGGTTCAAGTCTCCTTTTGATGCATGCTGGCATTGTGTATGACCTTGGGTAATTTTTCTCAGTGTCCTCAGGCCCTCTAAGAAAATAATTTGGAGAGAAGATACTCATCTTCATTGACTCAGTTTCCTTTGCCAGGTCACCGTCCACTATTGTGTCAGTGTACCCCAAGGCTCAGTTCTGAGCTCTTTTCCATCTCTGTGTGCTCAGTGATGTCATCGGCTCTCAGATTCAGTTATCATTTCTGTGCAGATGATTCCTAGATCTGTAGCCATCATCTCTCTCCTGAGAAGTAGAATGCCAGTCCTGCTTTTGCCAACTACTAGTTGAACAAGACAGCTAAGTGGGGCAAGGTAGCTGGATGGCACGGTGGATAGAATGCTGGGCCTGGAGTCAGGAAGTTGAAGTCCAGCCTTAGTCACTTGCTTGCTAGGTAGACCCTGGGCAAGTTAGTTAACCTTACTGTCTGCCTCAGTTTTCCTTCTCTGTAAATTTCACACATAATAGTAATTCAATTCACTAAACACTTATTAAGCACGTACTTTTTGCCAGGCATTCTGCTAAGAACTGAGGGTACAAAGGGAGGTACAAAACCAAGGGGAAAAAAAAGATAGTTCTTGCACATGGCGAAGAAGTCAAAGAAATCCAAAATGAGTCTAACTAGTAAGGAAATGTTTCCCCTGATACAACCTACTACCAACTTCCCGAGGTTGTTGGGAGGACAAGATGAGATATTTGTGAAGTGCTTAGCAAACCTTAAAGCACTATATATGTGCATATCAAATTCAGTGTGTTCCTACACTTTATGCAGACATCTCAGGTATCCAGGTTTACCACTTTCCCTCCTCCATATGCACTTATGTTCAGCATCTTGTCATTTCCACCCCCACAGCCTCACATACATGTCTCCTTCTTAACTTTTTGCAAGACACCACTGTCTTAACCTAGGCCATCATCTCATCTCACTTAGGCAATTACAAAAACCTCCTAATTGGTCTCTTTAATATTAGTCTCTCATTCTCTCAAATCCATCCTCCACACAGCTGTCAAAATCACTTTCCTAAAAGCATGAGTCCGATCATGACCCTCCCCTCTGTAGTATTTTAATTGGCTGCCTATTCCTTAGCTTGGCGTTTGAAGCCCTTCACGACCTGTTCTTCAGCCTACCCTTCCAGACTCACTTCACATACTTACTTTTGTTCACTCTGTTCTGTTTCCCTTCTGAGGTTTTTACTCAGGTGTTTCTTCAAGCCCAAAGTTGAGGTTCAGCTGTCGACCGCTCAATTATTAGTATTCTCACCTTCCTTAAATTGTCTTCTGTTACTTACTTGTGTATATATTCTACCCTTCGACAAGTTGTTAATTGCTTTAAGGACAGGAACTTATTTTTGCTTTTGTCTTTGTATCTTCATTATTTAGTACAATTCCTCACGTGTGGTAGGTGCTGAGTAAATGCTTATAGAATTTATAGAAAAGGCCTTTGAAGGGGCAGCTAGGTGGCACAGTGGATAGAGCACCAGCACTGGAGGGGGACCTGAGTTCAAATCCAGTCTCAGACCAGATACTTGATACTTACTAGCTGTGTGTCTAGCAAATGTGTGTACTAGCAAGTCACTTAACCCCAGTTGCCTGGCAAAAAAAAAAAAAAAAGCCTTTGAGATAGGTACTATTATTATTTCTATTTTAGGGATGAAGGTATGGTTGAGAAAAATTAAATTACTTGTCTAAGGGAGCTCACACAACTCTTAAGTCCAGAATTCAAACCCAAGATATTTTAACTCCAGATCCATGTACCTCTGAGCTTCCCTGCCCATTTTACAACATATTGCTCCTGTGGAACAGTTAGGTGGCACAGTGAATAGAGTGCTGGGCCTGTAATCAGGAAGGCTCATCTTCCTGAGTTCAAATCTGGCCTCAGACATTTACTAGCTGTGTGACCCTGGGCAAGTCACTTTACCCTGTTTGCCTCAGTTTCCTCATCTGTAAAATGAGCTGGAGAAGGAAATGGCAAGCCACTTTGCCAACATAATCCTAAATGGGATCATGAAGAGTCAGATATGATTGCAAAAACGACTGAATAACAAGCTCCCGATGGGCTTGTTGTTTTATATCATTTATATCATAAATCTCAACAATATCCATTCTTTACGTGTTTTTTTTTTTTTTTTTCCTATATGGAAAGTTAGGATGAACTCTTTGAAATGTTTATAGCTCTTGTTTAGGTAGCCCTGAAATGTTTGTGCTATCCACAAGTAGAAATATCTCAGGGGTCTCACCGTCCATTAAGAATTCTTTTCCCATTGTGATTCTTACCTGAAGTTCTGTGACAGTGGCAAATTGCTTTGAGGAGCAAATCACTCCCTTGATGTTTTTAAAAAGAAGTTGCCATGTTTTCTCTATTAGGTCTTTCAAAGATCTTGTAAGTTCTTTATATATTCTTTGCTAACATTTTTTGGGGGGGAGGGGCTAGGCAATGGGGTTAAGTGCCTTACCCAGGGTCATACAGCTAATAAGTGTTATGGGTCTCAGAGCAGATTTGAACTCAGGTCCTCCTACTCCAGTGGCAGTGCTCAATCCACTGCGCCACCTAGCTGCCCCCTTAATATATTCTTTGAAGGAGACCTCCTAAGACATCATTTTTTCCCCAGGAGTGGGAAATCTGCTCTACCCAGTCAAATATGGTTTTTATTGTTTTTTTTTCATAGTCAACAAACAATAATCACAATGTGACCTCTTACTCTTTCATTCTTTCCGTTAAGTGTTAGTTTAATGCTATAGTTGTATAGAAGAGCCGTTTGAAAAAGCCTAACCTTTCCTTTTTCTTACCTTCATTAAAAATGGCTTATAAGCATAAACAAATTTTTCTAATTAAGCTTTATAGACGTAGAAAAGTACAAACATAGGCTGGTAATTATTCATATTTTCTCAGTAAGCTTTCTTTGATAGTACTAATGAGCTTTTTTTTTTTTTTAATTTTTAACTATGTTTACCATTCCCAGATTTCCTGAGGATCCTTCAACAATCTCAAAAGACTGTGTCACCTGTACCATAGACCTACTTGGTGTATACTCAGTCTAATCAAGCTGGAAAAGTTAGTTTTAGAGTCAGTATATCTCATTTAAGATCTTGTTTCTGTCAATTACATGTGTGACTGTTATGTGCTTAGTCTTTTGGGATCTCACTTTCCTCATCTGTAAATGAGGGTTGGACTACATGACATCTAAGATTCTTTCCCATTAAAATATCTATAATCCTGTGGTGCTTCCTCAACAAGGACTGTAATGTTAAGGGCCAAATGAGGTGATTTCTCTGTCTTTGATGGTAGGATTAGAGTCAGAGATTTAGGGTTAAGGTTAGGGCAGGTTGTTTCCCTTCTTCATCTGTTGTCTTCCATTTTCTTAAATGCATTCAGAATGATTTAGCTTAATTAGGTGTCTCACCAAGCTTTCTGTATACTTCATTTTTTCTCCACCATTTTTTACTGTTTTATGAGATGATACTATTGATAATCTCCTAACATCTACCTCCCAAAGATTTGACACAAGTTCTATTCTTTATTAGTATGACCTTTGGCAATCTTATCTCTCCACTTACCAAGTAGAGCAAATATTTGCTGATTATAGTGGTTTCTAGCCTCTTTCAGTCTTTCCTTTAAGGTAACTGAACCACCTTAGAAAATAGTGATCTCTTTTATCAATACTCCTTTTTTGCCTATCTCAATAGCTTGTTTAAGTAGATCTTGTTTTCTTCTTGTTTTTCTTCCTTATTCTAATTTGTTAGCAGTGATTTTGATCTTTGCTCTGGCAAGTCAATGGTATGACTATACACAGACAGCTAATTCAGAAATGACTCCTGCATTAGTAACTAATCATCTCTTGCCTTTCAAAACTTACTCAATTTTATTTTTTGTGATATTTGGTGTATTTTTTAAAAAATGTTTTTGATTTGGTGCTCACCATATCTAAGGTCTTTGAAATTTCTTCTAAAAGTATTCATCACATATATATGACACATCTTTGTAGTATTCACACCGTGGATTTATTTTGTTTCTAAACTAAATTTTCTTTTTTTTTTTTTTTTTTTTTTTTGTTTTGTTGCTTTTTCATGAGGTAATCGGGGTTAAGTGACTTGCCCAGGGTCACACAGCTAGTAAGTGTCAAATGTCTGAGGTCACATTTGAACTCAAATCCTCTTGACTCCAAGGCTGGAGTTCTATCCACTACGCCACCTACCTGCCCCTTTCAGTATTTTTTTTTTTACCATCCTCTTTATCCTCCACTTGTGAAGTTCCTTATAACTAAAGTATATGTTGATTTAATTAGAGGAACTTAGCAAGTTCTGTTAATTGTCAGAAATTTTAACGACTTGTTAAAACATGATCTTTTAAATCCTTGGGGAAAGTCTTTCATTGTAGACAACAAAATCTTCACTGTAATCCTTTAAAATAAATAAGGGATTAAAATTGTCCCATACAGTTCTCATGAAAATCCATTGCCATAAGATCATAGATTTGAAGCTGAGGAGACCTTAGATATAATTTTACATTTTACAGATGAAGAATTTGAGGCCCTAAAAGGTTAACTGGCTTGCCGAGATCACATCAGTGCTAGGTAGCAGAGCTAGGATTAGTCAAAGTACATATCCCATGTTCTTTCTGTTTTACTGCTCTACCTTTCCAATCAGAGAGAACTTTTATTTTCATAAGTGTCATTTTTCCAAGGTTTTAAAAATATTTTGTAAAAAAAAATTTTTTTCTAGTACTTTAATATATCTATTTAAATTCATTGAACATTTAGAGTGTCTACGATATGCAAAGCACTGTGCTAGGCACTAAGAAAGCTACAAAAAATAAAAAATGAAAATTTCTCATAATCATAGAATAATGTTTTGATCACATCTATAGGCATTTCATATTCTAATTTTTCATTCCATTTAGTCTTCACGTTCTTCAAAAAAAGTTCATAATTTTGGAAAGAGATCAAACTCAATTAAAAGGAATCCCAATGCACCTGTTGTCAGACGAGGTTGGCTTTACAAACAGGTACCTTTTAATTTTTTTTATACAATATTAGGTGAAGCATTGAACTTTATGGGTATAAAATGGAATTCGAAGTTTGCAGAGGTGGTCTTTCCATGATTTCTGATTGTCAAGTCTGTTGGGGAAACATGATATGATAATAGAATATGAGGAAATATGGGCAAACAGGAAATGATAGTAGAATTTTCATGATTTAAAATAAATTCTCCTTTGAGGGGGTTTTTTATGGAAGAGAATGAAATATGAAAAGTAATCTTTTCTGAAAAATATAAGGATAAGTATGTCAGAATTATCTAGAGTAGAAATTTTATTCAGAAATTTTGGCTTATGCCACAAGAAAGATGTGCTAAGATTTCATTCTCTCCTGCTAATACGTGAGCATAAATGTGTCCTTATGCATATATAGTGTCATTCAGCTTTGACAAACCTAGTTGTTGAAATACTAAAAATTAGTCATCTTATTTGAGTAGGTACTCTTTCTGCATTTCTATGCCCAACTCCTACATTTAGTGATGTCATTTTGATTCTCTTCAAGAATGAAGAACCACCAATCAACTTCCTCTACAAGGGGAGAGTACATAAAAATTAGTTTTAGGTACTCAAAGTATTTTTTAATTTTCCTAAAAATTATTCCAAAATGGATTATTTTCTTTTATTTTGGCTTTTGCCTTACTGCCTTCTTAAATGGGTCAAACTGTATAGTATGAATCTTGTAGTTAGGAAATGATGGTACAGTTGAAGTATGTTGGTATGTTGAAGTATATTGAAAATATTCCTATTTTCTTCTTCTAATTCTTCAAATTACTGTGCTATTTTAAGTTCTTTGTCTACATTTTAGTTTTTTTAGTCACCTGCCAACCATTTTTTCCTGCTACCTGGAAAGATAGTGGCATGGAGAACTGACCTTGAAGTCAGAAAGTTCAAGTTCCATCTCTGATATATACTACAGTTTAACTATTTGTTTTGACTTGGCTGTCAAGAGAATAAAGTTACGGAGAAGGTGTCCACTTGCATTGGTGGTGCCCAGTGGGGACTGCCAATGAAATAACAGCCCCTGAAGACACACACACACATAGACACTTTTATACCAACACACTAATAATTGTCATCTTTTTGTCACCTGTTTCGGCCTAGAAGACTAGTTAATCAAGTTCATCATCTAAGTAAAAAGACCTGAGTGAGTTTTCTGTAATTAAAGTACATGAACTTTAATGCATAGAAGCACTAATCTCTATTTTAACTGGTCAGACTTTTTAAGGTTTTGTTGGTTTTCAGTACTATGTAAGATAGCTAAGTTGTCTGGATGAGTAAGATCTTATCTGCATATTTATACATTTTTCTACATATCTTTCACACAGCACAGGTAATAAGAAATATATCATGTATACCCCTTATTTGATAGTACAAGTAGTTTTCTAAACAAGTTAAGGCAAATATTTATAACTATAGTACTAAATGACTACTCAGAGCCTGTTTATTAAGTGATTTGACAATTTTTAATTTGCCCAAGATAGTTTATAACATCCTTTTTTTCTTTTGAGGGATTCTTCTCCCTTTCACAAACACACCTCTCCCTGTCCCAAATACCCCTTTTGTCCTAAATATCCAATTATTGCTTTAATTTCAGAATTGTTTTGAAATGGTAGTAATAATGAGGAAATTATTTAATGGCTATATATTTAAATGCATTTAAAATTTGTCATTTCTTTTTGAAAGATAAGTTCTCAAGGGTCAATGTATGTTTTTTTTTTTCTCTTTGATTTTACCATTTACAGTGTGTAGGCTTTGGTTATGACTTTTTTAAAGGAAATGCATAATTTTGCATTCAGCTTGATACATTTTTATGAACTAAGTATTCAGGGAAGAAATGTGTTTACCAGATGGTAAACCCGTTCTTCAAAGTGAGCAAAAATTGATCAGAAACTATATTTTAAAAAACAATATTAATAGAATTTATGTGTAATCTGTCACTTCAGGATACTATTCATTATCATTTTAAATCTCATTATCTATAGGGGTAATTTAAATAGAAATGTCATTCCTGTCGTATATTATCATATTTATTATTTCTAGTTTGCCAGAATGCACACACTGTTTGTTTATTATCCTCATGCCAGCCAGTAGTCAAATATTCCCAATAGAATGTATTTAAAATTGCTTAAAAATACAAAACTGCTCTCTTTATATAATAGTTACTTCAGAGTTCAGTAGACTTGGGGAAAATATCTGATATTGGGGCTCTTTAATGGCAAAACCATATATTAAACTTCAGGTTAACTTTTTTTACTTATGAACATATATATTCCATTATGGGATTTCCTTTGCTTTTGATCTTCAAGTTTCTGGATGTGAGCTTTATTATAAATGTATCAGGATTCATCTTAAATTGTTGGAAATGAAAATTATTCTGAAAACATGCTGATTTCATGCAGGATAGTACTGGTATGAAGCTGTGGAAGAAACGCTGGTTTGTGCTTTCTGACCTGTGTCTCTTCTATTATAGAGGTGAGTATGCAGAAGTCCAGAGTCTGTTGTTTCCTAGTTGCAACTATGTAATTGTTTAATAAATCTTACTTCATAAAAACAACTGCATTAGGAATCAGGAGGCCTGCGTTGTGTATAGTCTCAGACATATGACCTTGGACAATTAATTTCATCTTCACTACCCTCTGATTCTTGTTCTGTAAATTGATAGTATTAGAGTGGCATTGAAGTTCTCTTGCTGAACTCTAAAATTCTTTGACTCTTAAGAAATGTTATAAAAGAAAGAAGAAATATTTTTATTAGTAGCAACCTTTTGCTATTTTTTCCTATTAATATATGGTTCAGAGTCATGGAATCTTGGGCTTGGATGGGGCCTCAGAGACCTCTCCCTGTTGAGCTTAAAAGAACAAGAATCCATTTTGCAGCATTCCTTACGATAGTAATCCCAGCGCTTAACACAGTATCTGTACACAGTTAGCACTTACTAAATACTTCCTGATGGATTGATTCCTTGATTCATTGACCAAGCCTTGACTTAAAGATCTCAAAGGAGAGAGGGCCCATTATATGTAAAACGAGGGGGTTGGATGATAAGAATTATGGTGCCAGGTAGCTCTAAATCTCTGAAACTCTGTGACATTGAGGCAACCCATTCTACTTTTGGATAGCCCTAAATTTTAGGAAATTTTCCTTAAAGGCAAGTCACCTGAAAGTTGTTGAATAAGTCTAAATTGGTCTCTTTTCACCTTCTACCAGTGCTACTAGTTACATCTCCTGGGGACATGTACAACAAGTCTAACCTTTTCCACTTGAGACACCTTGAAGACTGCTATCATAGTTCCCCTTGTCTGCTGTTCTCCAGGCTGAAATCCCTAGTGCCTTCCACTGAATCTTTCTATGGCAAAATATTTAGGTCTTTCACCATACTGTTCAGGCTCCTGGGTATTCTGTACGTCTTATTAGTGTCCTTTGTTAAATGTGGCACTCCCAATTTAACCCAGTACTCAATAAATATTTATTAAGTGAATACTATGTACCAGGAACCATACTAGGAAAATAAACAATAAAATAGTCCTGCCCTCAAGGATTTTACTTTCCATCAAGGGAGACAGCAGTAACAGCACACATCATCATTGCTAACATGTATATAGTGCTTCCTATGTGCTATGCGTTTTAAAAATATTTGATTTGAACCTTACAACAACCCTACAAGGTAGGTGCTTTTCTTATCTCTATTTTGCAGATGAGGAAACTGAGGCCCAGAACAGTAAGTGACTTGCCCAGGGTCCACACAGCTAGTAAATGTCTGAGGCAGGGTTTGGATTCGGGAAGATCTTAACTCAGGTCTTCCTGAATCTTGGCCCAGCTCTCTATCCACTCTGCTGCCTAGCTGCCTCCTGTACATATCTTAGCATATACAAAATAAATAAGTAGTAATTTGGGGGTACAAAGCACTAGTAGCTGTCGGGGGATTAGGAAAGATTTCTTGTACAAGAGAAATCTTGAAAGAAGAAATGGATTCTAAAAGTTAGAAGTGAGTCGTAAATGTATTCGAGGTATGGAAGACAGCCAGTGAAGAAGCATAGGGGGAGATTGAAAATTATGTTGTTTTTGTCATCTGTCCTTCATTTTCTAAGAGGACCACTGACATCACAGGTGATGTCATGACTTGCATGTGAATTGGATTTAAGTGAGGCAGAGTTGCACAAAGTCAGCAGCCTCAGTCTCTCTTCCTGAGTCTTCAAAGTCCAGTGGCAGAATAAAAGTCAAGATAACTGGCAATGACCCAGGATGCAGTGGATAACTTTGGTGTCTTTGATGCCTGGCCAAGTTCTAAGCACTCCACAGTACCTGCTTCAGCCACCTTTATGGCCATTGGAAAAAATTGTTCTCATCAGCCCATTCCACCAGGGGAAGTCTTTGCATGCTTGGGGTAGATATCACCTTAATTCACTGATTGGTTTGAGGCCTGTCAGTTACCCTCAACCTGGTTTAACCGTCTGCCAAGATGGCTTGTTGGAGTGTAGCCATTGTGCATGCTACAGCTTCTTAGAGCCATGGATGAGAGTTGGATAAATCGGGTGGACATCAAGTGTTCATGAGCAGTCCTGAAAAGGGCTTGGCTGTCCCTCACACCTGAGGTGCTAGTCCTCTCTGAACACCCCATACACCCCAAGTTATATATAAGGAATAAGAAAACCAGTCTGGCTGTATTTTAGAATGTGGGAAGGGAGAAACATACAATAAGACTAGAAAAGTGCGTTATGAAGGACTTAAAATGTCAAAACAGGACATTTATATTTTATCCTGGAGACAATAGGGAACCACTGGAGTATATTGAGCAAAGGAGTCATATAGTTAGATTGCACTTAAGAAAAATGAATTTGGCACCTCTGTATAGAATACATTAGAAAAGAAATGGAGAGAACGAGGGAGGAAGATCAGTTAGACAATTCCAATAATAAAAGCAAAAGGTGATGAGAGCCTGAGCTAAGATTTTATCTATGACTAATGATAAAGGGTTGAACATTAGTGAGGCTGTGGAGGTAAAAAAAAAAAAAAGATAAAATTTGACACCTGAATAAATATGTGGAGTAAAGATGAATAAGGAGGCAAGGATAATTCAGTTTTTGAACCTGAGAGTTTAGAAGGATGGAGATTGGAAAGTCAACAAAAAAGAGAGGGAGGAGAGTTCAGAAGAAAAGATGGAGATTTTTGTTTTGAACGTGTTTGTGGTGTCATGAGACATCCAGTGTGAATATCTAATAGATAAGCTTATACCAGAGAATGAGCCTGGTTGTATAGATCTGAGAATCATCTTCATAGAGATGCTAAACCCATGGAAGTTGATGAGGTCACCAAGTGAGTATATAGAGAAAATAAAGCCCTGGACAGTGTCTTGAGGTATACTGCCTGTGACACAGGGTGTAGTATATACAGATGATAAACCAGGAAAAGAGACTGAGGAGTGGTGAGACAGCCAGGAGGAGAACCAGGAAAATAGTGTCATGAAAACACTGAGAAAAGATGATACTCGAAGGTGTTAACAGTGTCTCATTCCACAGAGAGGTCAAGAAATATGAGAACTGAAAAAAGACCAGATTCATTTTGACTGGCCAAGTAGTACTAAATCTCCTTAATCCTGGACAGTATACCTAATGTAGCCTAAGACTGAATTTTTTTGATACTGTATCATTTTGGCTATTGAGTCATATTGATTTTAGCAGTCCTAAAACCTCTAGGGCTCTTTCGAACAAATTGCTATCTAGCCATGCTTACCTCTTCTTGTGCTTGTGAAATTGATCTTTTGAACCAAATACAAGATTTTACATTTTATCTTACTATATTTTCAAGGCTATCATCTGGTTTATTAGCTTTCTCTCCTAGTTTTATATCAGTAAAATTTATTGAATCAATAAAAGCTATTGTTTAGTACCAGATCACAAACTACATTTAGACTATTTTAATTATCCAGAAAAGCAAAAATGTATTTGTTTATAAATTTAATTTAATGAATCTTATTTTACTAATCTGATTTCACTAATCCTAAATTTATAAAAAATGTATTAATGTGAATTTAGTACACAGGAATCCCATTTGGCACTGTTTTTGTGAAGTCAGTGCCACTTGATGGTTTCATATTAAAGATACATAGTAAGCAGCCCTTTTGGTAATTCCTGCAGTCCCTAAGGTGAGGTCCAAAACCACTATATGCAAAATTCTACTCTCTAGCAAATACTTGACATAGTGAGGTTCCAATGTACTGGGTTTTTTTGTTTTTTGGTTTTTTTTGTTAGTTTGTTTTATTTTGTTTGTTTTTTTTTTTAATTTGAACCAAATATACTGGTAGATGTGGTAGGTTTTGCTTAACTTTTTTCCTTATCAGAATAAAGATCTCATGATGGGGAGTAGGCAGGAGAATTGACAATCCAGAATTGACTGTAATATAAAAGAAACAAAAACAAAAACTTAGTCTTCAACTTAATTTTTTTAATTTGAAAGCAAAGCTATTATACAAGGTACAAACTATTATATAAGGTTTATCATGATATTGCTTTTGTGGTAATCTTCTATTCCTGACTGTTGTTTTTTATTCATGTTTGTTTTGTTTTTTAGTATAGTGAAATATTTAAAACCATGTTACGTTAGTCAAAAACTCTTGATCCTGTTGAACAATAGGTAATTATAGTCATGAAGACAAAATATGAAATTATTGTATTCAAGTGACTTTCTTACGATTATACCTTAGAAGTCAAACTATAAAGTCAAGATTATGAAGTACAGAAATATAAATCTCAAGGCATGCAAGAGTGCCTAAGAACTAAACTATCAGTACTGTCTGATAGAAAATGAAAATTCCTATCGTTTGTAATACAAAATGAAGGATGTGTCACAATGGAAAAAACATTCATTATCTGTGGATTCAGAGGACGTGGGTTCAAATATCTCTCTTGATTCTTGATACCTCTCTGACCCTGAACAAGTCAGTTAAGCTCTGTTGGCTTTAATTTCCTTGTTAGTTTACTTGAGGAGATTTGAATTTTAGAGGGCTTTTGAGGTCCATGTTAGCTCTAAATCTATGAGCCGATAATCCTAAAATTGTTTGTTATAAATATAACCTCTCGTTTTTCCCCTTGAACGCTGTTTTTAAAATCAGGAGCCCTCCTTGAAGACATTAAAATGCCAATACATAATGCAGTATTCATTATTTTTAGAGAGATGATGCAAAGCATGATAGACTTTTAGAACCGGTTATCAATTATAGACAGTGGCAGAAAAATTTTGTTTACTATGAGATAAAATTGATTAAGCATTTTGTTTTGAAAACTAGCAAATTTCAGTGAGCAGTTAAAAAAGAATTCACCTTTCTACCTTATAATTTGTATTTATCATAAAATTTTAATTATTGATTTTGTATTCACATAATAAAAATATCCTTTCTACCTTGTAATTCATATTGATCATAAAAGTATAATTATTGATAATGCCTTTTTTGGGGGATGGGACGAGGCAATGGGGTG